ATTCTAAATCATCAATCTCATTATCACACTCCCACACTATCCCCAAATCACTTGTTGTTGCTAGTAACCATAAATCTACTAATCTCTGTCTTAAACCTACTCAACAACTGAACTTCCACAGCCCTCTAGGATGGAGAATTCCAAAGATTCACCACCCCGAGTAAAGAAATTCCTGCTCATGTCATTCCTAAATGACTGGGGAAACATTCTTTCTGTATTCTCCATGTCTTTCAACTTAAGAATTTTGTAATTTGCTATGAGGTCACCTTTCATTTCTCTAAACTCATCAGAATACAAGCCCAGTCTCTCAAATCACTCCTCCTACATCAATCCTATCATCCCAGAAATCAGCCTGGTGAACTCCCATTGTATCCCTGAGTGTTTTCGTCCTTTGAGAAGGGGGCCAGAACTGCACACAGTAACCTCAAGTGTGGTCTCACCAGTGCTCTGTACAATTGAAACAGAAATGTTTTGCTCCTGTACACAAATCCTCTTGTAATAAACTTAACACATTGTTTGCCTTCCGAATTCCTTGCTGCACCTGCCAATTAGTTTTCAGTGACTTATGAAAAAGGACATTGACTTGCATTTGAACATCAATACGTTACAATCTTTCACCATGAAGAAATACTCTGCACCTTTGATCATCTTCCCAGAGTGGATAACCTCACACTTATCCACATTATATTCTACTTGCCACGCTCTTGCCAACTCACTCAGTCTTTATCCCCTTGAAGGCTCTTTGCATCTCCCTCACAACTCACTCAGTTTTCTGTCATCCACAAACTATTACATTTTAATATTACATTTAATCCCTGAACCCAAATCACTGATACAGATTGGAACAGCTGGGCCCAAAGCACTGATCCTTGTAGTACTCCTCTGGTCACAGCCTGCCAACTGTGAGAATGATACATTTATTCCTTCTCTGTGCTTTCACCAATCTCAGTCCATGTTAGTACATTACCCTCAATCCCTCATGCTTTCACAATCAGTTATGTTTCTTGCTAGTTTACATTTATATTCTATTCTCTCCATCTTTACCAATTTCCAGATCATCCTTTGTTCAATTCTAAAATTCCAATTCTCAGGTTTACAACTTTTGTTGGCACATTTATAATCCTCTTCTTTTGATCTACTTCTTTAAATTGTCTTGTTATTCATAGGTCTCTCACTTTTCCTGTTGGGCATTTTTGCTTTAAAGCAATGTTTTTCTTTTGAAAAACACACAGTAAGTTTTTAGAGATTTCCCATTGTCTATCCAGTGACAAACACTTTAACACATTTTCCAATCCACTACAGCCAAATTTCTCCTTATAACTTCATATTGCCAAGTTCAGGTTCAATCTGTTTTACTTGAGAAAGGATGTACTGGCACCGGAGGGGGTGCAAAGGAGGTTCACTAGGTTGATTCCGGAGTCGAGGGGATTGGCTTATGAGGAGAGACTGAGTAGATTGGGATTATATTCATTGGAATTCAGAAGATTGAGGGGGGATCTTATAGAAACATATAAAATTATGAAGGGAATCGATAAGATAGAAGTAGAGAGCATGTTTCCACTGGCAGGTGAAGCTAGGACAAGAGGGCATAGCCTCAAGATTAGAGGGAGCAGATTTAGGACTGAATTGAGAAGGAACTTCTTCACCCAGAGGGTTGTTAATCTATGGAATTCCTTGCCCAGTGGAGTAGTTGACGCTACTTCAGTAAACGTTTTTAAAGATAAGGTAGATTTTTTTGAACAATAAAGGAATTAAGGGATACGGTGAGAACGCGGGTAAGTGGATCTGAGTCCACGAAAAGATCAGCCATGATCTTATTGAATGGTGGAGCAGGCTCGAAGGGCCGGACGGCCTACTCCTGCTCCTAGTTCTTATGTTCTAATCTGAAAATAAGGCCGAGTGACCCATATCTAGGACAAAACAGAAATTGCCGGAGAAACTCAGCAGGTCAGTCAGGATCTGTGGAGAGAAAGAGTAAATTTCTGTATTGCTTCATTTTTCCAGTGTCTGTAGTTCTTTGTTTTATGTTCCATATCTGGGATTCATTCCTAAATTTTAAGTATTGAAATAGACTAAAAGTGATTAAAATTTATAGGTCAAAGAATTGTTGAAAGAATCAGCACAGATAGAGGCCATACTGTCCTTCACAGCTCAGCCAGATCTTTGATAGATACATCCAATCAGCCTAATCTCCTGCTCTTTCCCCACAGCTCTATAAAGTTTTACCCTTAAATATTTTTTAAAGTCATTACGGAATTTGCTTCCACCACCCTTTCAGGCAATGCATTCCAGATCAAAACAACTAGCTGAACAAAGAACTATTACCTCATACCAGTTGCCTTCTGACGCACTAGCTCTAGGATTGCATTTGCTATCTCAGCCTTCACGATGGCCTTATCCACATCCACCCTCTATTCAACACTGTATGTCAAAGGGAGTAGAGCTGGTCACTTCCAGTATCGATGAATCCCTGCCTTCCTCAATTCAGCGGGAGCTGGCAGCACTGAAGAACACAATCTCACTGAAATTATTCTAAAACTTGCAGTGCTATTTAACTATTACTGTTAAATTTTAATAAGCAAGATTTCTGTTCATCCTTTCCCCAAAACCTCCTATTTTCAATTAAATAACATTTTTAAAATTCTCCATCTCACTAAATTTTAAGTACTTGTTCAAGATGCAGGTACATAATTTAATTTCTTAGTCTTCTTTCCTCTCCAAACTTGTTTTATTCTTCTCAGTTATGAACGATTATTAGAGATATTTTTATCCCTACCCATTATATCCAGGACAAAGCAGCCACTTGATTGGCACTCACCCACCACCTTCAACATTCAGTTGCTTGACCACTGACACACAATGGCAACAGTATATATCGTCTACAAGATGTACAGCAGCAACTTAACCAGGCCCAATTGATAGCACTTGCCAGACCTACAAATTCTATCACCTAGAAGGAGAAGGACAGTGGACACATGGGAACACAACCATTTCCAAGCCACTCACTATCCTGACTTGGAAATACATCTCTGTGCCATCCTTGTTTCTGGGTAAAAATATGTCTTTTTCTTGAGAACAGTTATGAAGAAGGGTCACCGGATCCAAAACATTAACTCTGCTTTCTCTTTACAGATGCTGCCAGATCTGCTGAGTTTTTCCAGCAATTCCTGATTTTGTTCCTAATTATGAACATCTACAGCTCTTTAGTTTGTTGCCAATATAGATTCCTAGGGAACTCCACCAGAAACTTTCCTCCAACCTGAAAAATACCCTTTGATCATTACTCCGTATCCATATTGCTACTTACTATTTTATTTGATGAACTGTAACATTTCTCGCAAGTCCGTTTGTACGGCACTGTATCAACCTCCTTCTCAAAGTCCAAGTACACCACATCAACAGTATTACCCTCATTGACCATTACTGTTATCTCTTCAAAAAAACTCCAGCAAATTAGTTTAAACACAGGTTTCCCTTTAGAAACCCATGGTGGTTGTTCTTTATCAACCCACCTTTTTCCATGCAACAAACTGAAAACAATTTAACCTTCTGAAGCAAACATCTGTTTCAATTGTTCCTGTAGAGTCAGGGAATGGTTTTAGAATTAAAGTTTAATACAATTTATTATAACAGTAAAAAAATTTGCATACCTTTAACCTGTGTAGCGTATATATAAATTATCTGGATAGTTTAGGTGATATGAAGCATAAGAGACACTGTCATCTATATTTCATGTCATGATATATAATACATTATTTGTAACTGTAAAAGACAGACCCTGAAAAGTTCACTTAAATTACCAAGCCAAGATTATCATTGAAGCATATACCTGACCGAAGTTCTTGTCCTTCCATTTGCTCAGCACACAACGGCTGCACTGCAGCAGCTCCTGAAGGACAAGCACACAGATGGCTATGTCAGATGTATGCACTGTCACCAATGGGTAAAGTGTTTCTGATTTCCAATCAGAAGAGATTAGTATATTTCAAAAACAAAGATGCAACTGTTTCAGAACATGCCACTGCACTAGAGGCTGGTTATGATCTCCATGTAGGCTGATCCTTTACAAAAATTAAAGTTGCTGAAAGATAAATAAAGGGGTATAAATTGTTTACTGTCAATTTTGTAACTAGGAAAGTACCTCAAACTCCTTGAGGGTGTCTCGAAGTTTATCTGGACGTCTATTCTTGAGTGTCCACAAGTATTCACGAGCTGGCAAAGAAAAAGTGATCATAATTTTTTAATATAGTGAGAACTCCACTACACAACTTACTCGAATCATTCTATTGTGGCAGCATTAGTGATCAAGCTGAACTTGACAATGAAATCCAGTATCTAAGGTCACAATAAAAAGTCAAATTATCTAATGAAATCAGTTAATAAAAACAAAATTGGTACGTTCAAATTAGAAGCAGGAGCAGGCTACTCAACCCCTTGAGCCTGCTCTGCCATTTGACAAGATCATGGCTATTTGGATTGTGCCTTCAAGAATACTTCCTTCTTACCCCAAAATCCTTTGGCCTCCTTGTTAATCAGAGATCTATCTGCTTCTGCCTTCAAAATATTTAATGGCCTGTCACCACCACTCTCTGGAGAACAGAGATCCACACACTCACAACACTGACAGAAAACAAATTCTTCTTGTCTTCATCTTAAATAGGAGACTCAGTGGAAGTATGCCAATGGGAGTAACCAGAGGACAGATTTAAATTAAGTAGCAAAAAAAAAAGCCCAGGAAAATGAGGCTTTTTTTAAAAAACACAGTGAATTGTGATCTGGAATCCACTAGCTAAAAGCTTGGAAGCAGATTCTAGAGACATTTTCTGAAGTGAACTGGATAAATACTTGAAGGGAAAAATATCATGAGCTATGGGAAAAAAACTAGAAGGTGAAATTAAAAGCTGACGGAGGAACAAAGAGCTGAAAGGATCATTCTGTACAGAAGGAAGCCAATGAACCAATGCCAAAATAATCTGGAAATTAATAAAGTGTTATACGGCTGGAAAATTAGCTTCAGATGTAATGCAAACCAGGAGCAGGATAGACTTTAGTGGACAGACAATATACTTTTATTGGAAATTGGAAACTTATAAACTGTCTGTTTTGTATCCAAATTAAGGTAAGACTAAAATTTGGTGATTCATGGTCTTGAGAGCCTCGAAGTTGGCTCATACCTATGTAACAATGTACTGCCAGTTGGTACATGCTGCCTACGCTGAAGAGGCTAGTGGCAGGACCGAGCTGAAATAGACTGAGACCCAATTTGTTTCTTAACAGTAAGTTTCAGGCAACAGTTGAGGGTCCAGACACAAATTCCCACCACTCTTTTGGTAACAGCTTCTGCTGAATTCCTTATTGGAGTTATTAGTGACATTCATCATGATTAAGGAATGTCATTTTGATATGGTTATATGTTAGATTTTGTTAATTGGAATGAAGTGAAAGCAGTCACGGGCTGCTTAAAACTATTAAATGCTATTCAACTTTATTTATTATTGCCAGTCATTTTAGTATAAAAATGTTTGCTTCCCTTCTTGAAAGGGATTATTAAGATTGACACATAGATTCTTTGGTTTTTATTTTATTCAGGAGGATATTCAGAACAAAAGGGCTTAGCAAAGAAATGGCTTGTGCATTTAGTATGATAACTGACATCCATGATTTAAGGTAATATTCTGTTACCAAGGAGAACAGGTAGACTATACAGCTAGCATTCAGTGCATCTTTGTCAGCACTGTTCTTTATTCTAAGAAGTTGCTGAGCCTATTGGAGAAAAGCCATGATAACTATGCAGAGGAACCAGACTCCTAATTGCCAGAAACGTTGGAAACACATTACTTAAATTAAGATCTTAAATAACACTCTGTAACATTACTTCATTACTTACCCTCCGTCATATGCTGCTTTGCTTCCAGGTAACAACAATCTGATGGTGACACTTAAGGAATTCAAATGACAAAAATGAAAATAAAGAAATGACATATAACGATAGTCCAAGTTAACACTAAAAAAAATCTTTGCAGCTAAAAACACAGGCAGATGTTATAGTATTATGTTACCATGAACCTTAAATGCAGAAGCAGAATCTGCCTATCACCAGCAATGTAGAGTCAGTATCACAATCAACAATAAGGAAATGAAATTTAACTTTAAGAATGTATTATTTGGCCAGTAATCAGTTGATTGCTTGATAAACACACCAACTAATTCACAACTGCACATTTTGCATTTGCACCAAAGTTGAATTTTACTCCTACAGGATGTTAACAGAGACCTCCATTTTAATATTCTTAAATGGAAGGACGTTAAATCTAGCAAATAGTCTTCCAGGATCAATAAATATTCTAAGTCACTTATCAAAAAAAGGACATAAAGACTGTACTTCTCTGTATTTATATCAGTTGTATTTTGATGCCCTCTGCTGGAATTCTGGTGCATAAATATGGAATTTAATTTTTACTGTATTAAGATGATTCACATTTTTATCATAGTTACTAATAACATAAATGTGAGTGTAAACCTACCTGCCTCTCTCTTATCATAATATTGATAGGTGCCGATATCTGTATCTGTTGTACAATTTGAAAATGAAAATAAATAAAATTTAAAGACCAGCCAAAGTATTCTGGAATTAAATATTATTTTGATATTATAAAGGTCAAACATCCCAAATGATTTTATTTGCATGTAATAAAGATAATACATACCTTTTAAAATCAGCTTCCAAAAACAGAGAAATTCACAGGAAATGATAGATTTTTAACGTTAATTCTTAGAAACTCCAATACACGCCAAAAATTGAACATCTACTACACATGAATTTTGCAATAATTTAAATACATCCTTAAGTAAGTTCATCGACGGGACTAGTGTGTAGATATTACGCCATAAAGACACCTCGACACAATCCAGCTCAAACAACTAAGTACACTTCAATTAAACATTATATCCATTTGTTTTTTTAAATGGTATTTTGAGAAGTTATACAAATTTTGACTGATGCAACTGTTCCTTAACATGGTATTTTCTCATTTTTAAAGCTTTTCATACTTTTCCTTTTCTGCCTTCACTGTTCCATGAAGGCTGAAAAAAAAATCTAAAATTCTAGATCAATAACCAAATAAATGCTTTGCACTACTATAATCATAAAATGATGAATCCCTACAGTGTGGAAGCAGGCCATTCAGCCCACTGAGTCCATACTGACCCACCAAAGAGAATCCCATCCAGATCCACCCCCCCCCATCCTATCCCTATAACCCTGCATTTACCATAATTAAACCACCTAGCCTGCACATCCCTGGACGTTACCGACAATTTAGCGTGGACAATCCAGCTAATCTGCACGTCTTCGGACTGTGGGAGGAAACCAGAGCACCTGAAGGAGACTCATGCAGACATAGGGAGAATGTGCAAACTCCACACAGATAGTCGCCCAAGGGTGGAATCCACTCAGGTCCCTGGTCCTGTGAGTCAGCCGTGCTAACCACTGAGCCACTATGCTGCTCATTACTAAGTGGCAACTTTCTGAAGTGGAAGACAGCTTAAAAAAATTCTTGGTGAGCTTTATTGACAAGACGATCCTCTCTCTTCTTTCTGGCTGTGCTAATTAACTGATCTCACCAAAGTGGAAGAAGTGTTTTGCAATTGATATCAGTGCTCTCAGTGAAAAGAAGAAATCTACCATTGTTCCCACACCTAGTTATTATCCAAGTATTATGGACCAGATTAAACCCCCTTGAAATATATTAAGAAGATAGCCTAGACCTCAAGTTTTTCTTATATTTAAAGGCAAGTGTAAGGCATTGTGCTCTGGGTGCAATTTGATTGGTCAATCTACAAGGCTTGAAGCAAAACATGCTTTATTCTTACACTATACTTAAAATACAAACAAAAGTAAGAAGAATTGAAATAACTCTATTGGAAAACTTAACAGAATAATAGATTATTTAACAACTAAACATTAACTGTTCCAATATAGAAACATCCCAAAAACACACCCTTGGCAAAGACAAATTCGGTAAGATAGACTGTCTCCCACACAATTCTCGCAGCAAAGAGAACTCCAGCATTTAACTGTAACAGAGAAAAGAATAACAGGTTCCAAGTTTCAAGTTTCAAGACCCCAGCAACTACTGAAAACTAAACTAAAATCTGGTTCTGTGGGAGCCTGACTCCACCTACTCATACTTCTTTTGTTTGCTTTTAAAAAAAAACAAAGTTAGCTCAATTGTTGGGCTCAGAGCAGACAGCTCATCTCCAAACTTAAAACCCTTGCTTTCATAAGAAACATGACAGGACAAATTCTTCTTAAAGGCACATCTCGCATCATAAGTTACTCTGACTGGAAAGCCCACGTGGCTACACCGAGTTCTGGTACACATCATTGCTGCTGAACATGGGTTCGGTTATCTGTCCTCACTGAAGAAGATCCTATTTGATCTCACAAAAAATGTTTGTTTGGTTGGAACACAGAAACATACACTATTGAGAGTCACTGACTTTGGGGGGGATCTCCACATACAAATACAGAGAGAGAAGTGGGGAGTATATTGGCAAACTGAAAAATATTTGCTGTTTCTATATATGTTGAATGAGAATTCAGATTCCACCTGGTATCAAAAATCCTGAAAAATAATGATACAAGTTCATCAAAGCTTCGCAGTAAAGCTTTTCATTTAAATGGAATTGCCTAGAGTCATACAGCATGGAACTAGATCCTTCAGCTTCAGCTTGTCCATGTTGACCAGGTTTCCTAAACTGAGCTAGTCCCATTTGCGTGCATCTGCTCCAAATCTCTTTAAACCTTTTCCTATCCATGTACCTCTCTAAATGTCTTTTAAATGCTGTAATTGTACTTGCCTCTACCACTTCCTCTGGCAGCTTGTTCCATATATGCACCATCTTGTTTGTGAAAAAGTTGCATCACAGGTCCCTTTTAAATCTTTGCCATCTCAGCTTAAACCTACGGCCTCCCAGTTTTGGACTTGTCTCCCCTGGGGAGAAGGCCTTGACTATTCACCTTATTTATATTCCTAATAATTTTATAAACCTCTATAAGGACACCCCTCAGCCTCTTACGCTCCAGGGAAAAAGTTCCAGCCTATTCAGCCTCTCCTTAAAACTCTAACTGTCCAGTCTCGGTATCATTCCTGCACCCTTTCCAGTTTAATAACATCCTTACTATAGCAAGGTGACCAGAATTTTACGCAGTACTCTAAATATGGCCATACCAATATCCTGTACGGCCATAACATGACATCCCAACTCCTGTACCCAATGCTCTGACTAATGAAGCAGAGTGTGCTAAATGCCTTCTTCACCACCCTGACTACCTGTGATGCTACTTTCAAGGAAGTATGAACCTGCACAACTCGGTCCCTCTCTTCAAAAACACTCCCCAGGGCTCTACCATTAACTATGTAAGTCCTGCCCCGGTCTGTCTTAACAAAATGCGACACCTCACATTTATCTAAATGAAACTCTATCTGCCAATCCTTGGCCCACCTGCCCAATTGATCAAGATCCCATTGTAATCTTAGATAACCTTCTTCACTGTCCACTACACCGCCAATTTTGGTGTCATCCACAAACTAACTAACCATGCCTCCTATATTTTCATCCAAATCATTTATATAAATGATGATCAACAGTGGACCCTCACTGATCATGCGGCACACTGCTGGTCACAAGCTTCCAGTCTGAACAGCTACCCTCCCTCCCCTAAAAACCATTAAATAGTTTGTACATCTTGGCTCATAGTACACCTGTAATAAAGAAGACAGTATTACTCGCCAGTTGATTGGCCATAATGTGCAATGCTCTAACAGCTCAATAAACCTAAATCAACATTTAGATTTCTAAAACTGGTGAAAATACAGACAAACAAACTGCATTAAGAGGTGCAATTTCTTTCTGCATTTGGTTTTTGAAATATTTCAGTATAAAATAAAATTTACCAGTGTGCTGAAATATAAATTCACTTTAAATGAACACATAATAGATAACGTATTATGTTAACAGCAAAGCAAAAACCATTATCACATAATGCTTCTTAAAAATGTATGAATGGTAATTTTTCGGTGTATTTCTAGATGCAAGAATGAAAGGGATAAAACGATTTAAATCAAAAGAAGTTAGAAAATCTAGGCAAGACTCAATTACCCTTGACTTGTAAGGCATTCTTCATAGACCACAGGTGCAGCTCAGCCAGGCAGACAGACATCTGATGGCAGTTGGAGCTCAGCTCTGTGAAAGAAACAACACAATGTATGAAAATTAATTAGCCTCCATTAAGCATAAAATTAAACTTCTCTGCAAGTGGAATTGTAAAATGGTCCCTCAAGAACTATATTTTAAGATGAAATGTGTCAACACATATTAGCTTTAAAAAAGGCAGAAAAGGAACAGCAGTTTATTCCTCCTCTCCCCACAGGACTTGCTATTATGAGCTAGGTCTACAAGGAAACCCCAGAAGGCAGCACTGTTTGAGAAACCCATTAACCAATGGCTCAAATTCCATATGCTGCCTTTATAATTCTTTGCATTTGGGAAAGACTGAAAGTTTATTGATTTCACACTTTAATTAATGTAGTGGCTACCCGTAAGAAACAGTTCTTAAAGTTTGATTCTGACATGCTTTAATAAATATTGGGAAAGTTGGAAAGATTAATGAAATATATGTAACTTCAGCTATTTACTGTAACTCAACTTTGTGTGTCACTCATGGCACAGTGTAGTGGTAGAAGTGGTTTTCTAACATAATAGCAAACAGGTGTATTTTCAGTCCTTTAGCTGCTTGGTTGCACTGCTGTGATACACTAAATACTAGCAAATGCCAGTTGGGCTGTATTACCTGTTTTTAACCTGCATTTTCTACGTAATTCTACATAATAAATGTTAGCCAATACAATGGGAAAACTGTGGCACTCTTTTGAAAATAATACCACAGAACCTTTTTTTGCCTATCTGCTTAACATCCTCTGGTTAGGCAACAAAAGGTTACATAAAGTCTACAAAAATAAACAAAGAAAGTAAACATGTTTTCCCACTTGCAGATGGCTTTGTGATGAAACTTTGAAAGGGAGAATGCCAAATCATCTGGATTTGCCTCACAATTACAGACTGGAAAGATTCTTGTACTACGGTCCTAATTTGACATTCTCTTCCAAGCAAAAAGACTTTGATGTCAAGTTATTCTTTTAATCAGTAAACAGAGGTCTAAGATGATAGTCTTTTAGAGCACTTAAGAAGATCAGGTCAATATCCCCATATCTTCTAAAATTAACTTTTCAGAACTCATTAATTTCATTTAAACCTTTTTCTCCCCTTGATACAATCAATGACTTTCAAAGTTTAATAATGACTGACAGGAAAGATGTTATCAAGATTTGATTGCAATGATTTTTGATGTATTTATGAAATGAGGAAGTAACCGAGAAGAGGAAACATAACAGATTACGTTGCCATGATCTTTTGAAAGTTCTAGGGCATTCTCCCCTTATGTATGTAAAGAACAGATGTTACTTCAGCCATAGCTGCAGAAAATGTCACTGCTGTCTCTCACCATATTTTGTGACAGCTTGACCTGAAGCAGGACTGATGTGAATAATCTGATTCTACCAGTTATAACCACAATCCAGAACCAGACCCTTTGATATTACACAGCCTACACAAAAATTACTGACAGGTCTTTGGGACAAATGAATATTTCCTCAGACAAGGAGAAACATCTGAGAAAATCAGGCCTAATATTCAAAACTGTGACTATCCTCTCTTGAAGAGAGGAATAAACATCATGTCACTTTTTTTTCTGTAAAATCAACACAGGGTATTTGCAATATCAAAGTTATAAATTATGACAATTTGCCTGCCCCAGTATAAAGTCCTGTAATAACATGCACACATGACATTCCACAAGGAGAAAGGTCACAACACTCAAAGTGGGCATCAGTTCCTGACATTCAGATCAATATTTTCATGATCATGGTTACCTTATGAGAATTTTGCTTGTAAGTTTTAAATTTTGAAGTTTTTCTATTGTAACCTTTCTACAATAATAAAACTACCTCCTCAGTTTGGGTTACTATAAATTACAGAGAGTCATACAGTTATAGAAACACAGAGTGTGGAAACAGACCCTTCGGCCCAACTCATCCACGTGGACCAGATATCCTATATAAATCTTGTCCATTTGCCAGCATTTAGCCCATATTCCTCTAAACCCTTGCTATTCATATAACCATCCAGATGCCTTTTAAATGTTGTAATTGTAACAGCCTCCACCACTTCCTTTGCCAACTCACCTCATCTATGCACCACACTCTGCGTGAAAAAACTGCCCTTTAAGTCTCTTTTAAAAATCTTCCCCTCACCTTAAACCAATGCCCTCTAGTTTTGGACTCGCCCAATCCAAGGAAAAGACCTTGCCTATTTACCCTATCCATGCCCCTCATGATTTTATAAACCTCTGTTAGGTTAGCCCTCAGCCTCCGATATTCCAGGGAAAATAGCCCAGCATATTCAGCCTCTCCCTATAGCTCAAACCCTCCAACCCTGGCAACATCCTTGCAAATCTTCTCTGAACCCTTTCAAGTTTCACAACATCCATTCTATAGCAGGGAGACCAGACCTGCATGCAGTATTTCAAAAATGGCCTAACCAATGTCCTGTACAGCTGCAACATGACCTCCCAACTCCTATAGTCAATGCACTGACTAATACAGACAACGATATCAAAACCTTCTTCACTATCCTATCTATCTATGACTCCACTTTCAAGGAACTATGAACCTGCACTCCAAGGTCTTTTTGTTTAGCAAAACTGCCCACGATGTTACCATTAAGTGTACAAGTCCTGCCCTGATTTGCCTTTCCAAAATGCAGCACCTCACATTTATCTAAATTAAACTCCATCTGCCACTCCTTGGGCCATTGGCCCGCCTGATCAAGGTCCCATTGTATTCCGAGATTGTTATTACTTTGTTACAACTTAAGATTTAGGCTGTGTAAAAGATTAAAATGTGTACTTTGTAGCCTTAGTGAGGGAAATAATTAAATCCAGAAATGTTCTAGGTAGAACTATTATCTACATTTATTTTCTCACTTGGTGCTATCCAGCTGCCAAATGAATAGACAATAGGAGCAGAAACAGCTAACGTGAAACTCTTCAATTACACCAGGAATAAAACCAAACCATTTTACTAATGGTACCAATGGTACCTATCCTTAAAGACATCCTAACTTTCATCATGTTATGCCTATCACTGGCTCTCAAAAACACAAAACAAATTGATAATTTTGGCAATATTTATTAATACTGATAGAAAGAAATCAGGCAAATCCTTCTCAATATAAAATCTCCAATACTACAAACAAAATAATGCAAATTATTGAATTTTAAGATAGACAATCAAAAGTTAGATGAAAATAATCAGTAAAAGAGCAGAAGTATTCATTTGTTACTGAACAAAGATGAAAATAGAGAACAATGGAAAATGAATATATAATTGTGTTTAATGAAAAGAAAAATATATAAACTGTACACAAAAATATAGTGTAAATATGGAAGAATTTGGCTACCTTACAGTAATCTAGATAAGATCACTCCAAGACACTTTTATGGAACTATTGTAAATGTTTTCAGACTCCTGAAAAGTTGGATAGGAGTCCTGAAGTCTGACAATTATCCATTCAGGGGAAATGCAATTAGTTTATTGTACACCTGAAACAACCTCTGTTCTCTTGAGAGAGAATGAATCCCCATCAGATTTTTTGACAAGCTGTCAACCACATGCAAGAAACCCTGCACCCAACTTATTACAGCAGTATGCTTATTACCTTTCTTGGCAGTTCATTTGAAAGTCATGTGCAAACTTGCTTACAGCTTACAATAAATTAAGCCCTGCATACAAGTGCTCTCCCAATACAGGAATAAAAAGCAAAATCTCTATCCTCCTGATCAAGATCGCTTTCTAAATCTGTTATATCTCAGAATAAAACACCCTTAATGAAATAGTCACATGCACATGGCTTTTAATCAATAAAAAATGAAATAGTATGGAACTTTATTTAAATATTTTTGCAGTGAAGAATATAAATACATAACTAGCTCAATAGAGTGGCTTGAAATTGACCAGTAGGTTCCAGAACTATTCAAGACTAAGGATTAAGGACAGGAGTGACCTAAGACTAGAAACACACTATTTTGCTGGAGTTAGGCTCTTACGCTTATTCTAAACGGATTCAAGGCAGCTTGTGAGTGATACAGTTTCGCACACCAAACCAATGTCTGGAAGCTGTCAAAGAAAATGAGATGTTAGGCTCAGTAAAAAAAATGGAGTAAGCACATCATGGGAAGCCATCCTACTACCATGAGGAGCATTGACCGAGTCCTACCTAGAGTACAGTATGTAGTATTAAAACCCAGATTACAGAAGGAATACAACTGAGTTAGAAATGCTACAAATGATAATAAAAGAGGATTGGAGAATGAAACACATGGAAGGAGTCTAGGAACCAGAAATCTTCTCACTGCAAAAACAATGGAGTACGATTAGGGATATGACAGACATTTAAAACAATAAACCTCAAGAATGTGAATCAGTCAGGACTACTTCTATTGATAAAAGTTAGCTGTGCAAAGGACAATCAGTTTAAGCTAAGCAGAAATCATTTCAGGCAGGTTGTAAATAAGCATCACTGACAGGGTGACGGGTTACTGAAACAGATTACTGGGAGAGATTATATTTTAGATTTCAAGGTAAAATGCCATCAACAGGAATGCATTATCAAATAAGGGGAAGTAGGGTCATAGTGTAATATCCTTGGAATAGTAATACAGAACCCAAGGCTAGCGTTTTGGAACATGGGCTCAAATCCCACCTTGGCAAATGTGAAATCTGAATTCAACAGAAAGAAAAATGGAATTAAAAGTTAGTTTAATGGTGTAAAATGGTCATAAAAACCCATCTGCCTCATTGATGTCCTTTAGGAAATGAAATTTGCCTTCCTTACCTGGTCTGGCCTAAATGATTCCAAACTCACAGCAATATGGTTGACTTTTAACTGCCCCCTGTGTTGCGAAATTGGTATACTACTTGTGGATTGGAAGGCAGGACATTAGAATTTGTTTGTAAAATGATGGGTTGGTGGGGGCGGGAGAGGGGGGGGGGGGGGGCGGGGGGAGTGTTTTTTTCAGGCTTTAAAAGAATCTCTGCAGGCAGCAGCACATGCACAGAGAGAGTTCT